CGTTTTTCCTTCTGCGTCTCTTCCGGTCTCTGCACCTCTCCCACGTACTCTGGCTCCTTCCTCTCTCTCTTAGCTCTCTCTTTCCATTTCCTCATCAGAGTGCGTCACACAGTCTGCAGCCAAACTCAGGGAGTCCCGGAGGCATCCAAGAGACATCCAGGGTTTCCAAATGATACCCCAGGGCCCCTCAGGATGCAGGCGCCACACACAGGCCACAGCTTCGCACCCTGCCTGTGTGGAGTCCAGAGTCTCCTCCGCTGCCTGGAGACTGGTCCTTGGGTCCCTACACAAGGCCCCAGTCTCCTCACCCAAGCATAGGGGAGGTTCCTGCCTTGGAAGAGCTCTCAGGGCCCTTCTTCTGTCCATCCCAGGGACAAGGAAGGCCACATCTAGCCCCTGCAAGTTTCCTGAAAGGGTGATTGAGGAGCCAGAAGAGGAAAAAGGCAGTACGTCAGGCTTCCGCCTCATCAGCCCCTGTCGATCTGCTTTCTGTTAGGCCACCTGCCAAGCAGGGCCTCCTGCCCCCTCAAATCTAGATCCATTTGGCTTAAACCTCACCCCATCCCATCCTACAGGCGATGAAGGATCAAAGTCCTTCCAAAGTTTCTGCTGCTGCAGGGTGATTGACAACTGACATTTGCTCCCTGCCTCTGCCCCCTTCAGAAAAAGCCTTGCTCCATAAAGCCTCTGTGTTGGAGACCCCGCCGGGGCTGGAGAGGGCCAGCAGCCTGCCTCAGCCACAGGCAGGACCCCGTCCAGCTGACACACGAGTTCGAGCACAGTGTGGCAAGAGGCAGTGAGGACTGGGACGTAAATAAATAAGGCGGAGCGAGAGGGCTGGGGATGTAGCTCAGTGGCACAAGCACGTGCCTAGCAAGCACAAGATCCTGAGTTCAAGTCCCAATACCAAAAAAAAAAAACCAAACAAAAAACTAGTCACTTCCTTTAGCCAGGCGTGGTGGCGCATGCCTGAAATCCCAGCACTCGGGAGGCTGAGACAGGAGGATCGCTGCAAATTCGAGACCAGCCTGGGCTACAAAGTGAGCTCAAGGCCAGCCTGAACTGCATAGCAAGACCATGTCTCAAAAAGAAAAAAAAAAAAGGGCAGAGTGAGAGAGTGAAGGGACCGGGGAGGCCGCTTCCGTAGCCGGGAGGCCTCTCTGCTCAGGTGACATGTCGGGAGAGATCAAATTGAAGTAATGAAGTGGAGGACAGAAGCTCCTATTGCAGCAAACATGCTTATTTAATTGAGTCGCCAGAGGAGGCCAGATGCAGACACAAACAAGTTATTAGCTGGCGGTCAGCACCCAGATCACGCACGGACCCAGAAGGGCAGGCGGGCAGAGCACTTATACAGTTTCCGTTCTGGCTCTAAAGGGGGTGGGTTAGGTTTTTCCTGATATGATTCAGTACAGCTACAGAAATATTTGTACAAAGCATGGGCTTAGCTTGTGACAAGGGACAAAGTTGTTTGTACTTAGTGGTGGGGTGCAGAGTGTACAGAGCATGGGGTGGTATCGGGTTAGGCAACGATGACAACGTTTACAAGAACCAAACTTAAAGAAACGGAAACTTAAGCTGTAAAATGGCACTACAGGGGCTGGGGATTTAGCTCAGTGGCACAGTGCCTGCTTGGCAAGCATGAGGTCATGAGTTTGATTCCTGGTACCGGAAAA